AAAACAGTGCTTGTCTAATTGCGAATGAATGTTGTTGTTGTTAGAGACCGTTGAGTCAGCTTCAACTCATAGTGACCCTATGTACAACACAACAAAACACTGCCCTGTCCTGGGCCGGCCTCACAATCGTTGCTATACCTGAACTGATCATTGCAGCCACTGTGTCAATTCATCATGTTGAGGGCCTTCCTCTTTTTCGCTGATCCTCCACTTTACCAAGCATGATATCATTTTTCAGGGAATGGTCCCTTCTGACAACATGACCAAAGGAGGTGAGATGAAGTCTGACCATTCTCACTTCCAAGGAGCATTCTGGCTGCACTTCTTCCAGGGCAGATTTGTTTGTTCTTCCGGTAGTCCATGGCACTCTCAGTATTGTTTGGCAACACCACAATTCAAAAGCATCAACTAGTCTTCAGCCTTCCTTACTTATTGTTCAGATTTCACATACATATGAGGCTACTGAAAATACCATGGCTTGGGTCTGGCCCACCTTAGTCTTCAAAGAGACATCTTTGCTCTTCAGCACTTTAAAGTGGTCTTTTGCAGCAGAATTTCCCAGGGCAATATGTCTGATTTCTTGACTACTGCTTCCTTTGGTGTTGATTGTGGTTCCAAGTAGCATGAAACCTTTGACAACTTCAATCTTTTCTCCATTTATTGTCATGCTGCTTGTTGGTTCAGTTGTGAGGATTTTCATTTTCTTTATGCTGAGTTATAATCCATATTGAAAATTGTAGTCTTTAATCTTCATCAGTAAGTGCTTCAAGTCCTTTTTGCTTTCAGCAAGGAAAGTTTTGTCATCTGCATGTCTCAGGTTGTTAATAAGTCTTCCTCCAATCCTGATGCCGCATTCTTTTTCATATAGTTCAGTTTCTCAGATTATTTGTTCAGCATACAGATTAAAAAAGTATGGTGAAAGGATACAATCCTGATGCTCACCCTTCCTGATTTTAAACCATGTAGCAGTGCCTTCTTTTGTTCAAACGACAGCCTCCTGGACTATGTACAGGTTTTTTTTTTTTTTAAATTGTGATTTGGGTAAAAGTTTACAGAGCAAATTCACTTTCCATACAGCAGTTCACATACACTTTGTCTCATGACATTGACCACAATTTACCACAATGCAACATCTCCCCTCCCACTTCCTCCTGATAGTTACCTCTTCCCTGTGTCCATCCCTCCATGCATTCCTGCCCCCTGAGCTGTCTCCCTGTGCATAAGCAGCCCTTCTTTCTCCCATGCTTGTTCTCTCCAAGGAGTGTATATACAGGTTTTTCATGAGCACAATTAAGTGTTCTGAAATTCCCATTCTTTTCAATGTTATCCATAATTTGTTATGATTCACACAGTCAAATGCTTTTGCACAGTCAATGAAACACAAGTAAACATCTTTCTGGTATTCTTTGCTTCCAGTCACCATCCATCTGACATCAGCAATGATACCCCTCATTCCACATCCTCCATTGGTTCTATGACAGGGCTGCTTCTTGGGATCTGAGATGCTCATGGAAGGCCTTGGGAAGAAGTAATTATGAAAGAGCCTTCAACAAGAATTTAAGATAATGCTTGGATCAATCACTCTTAAGTCAAATATTAATTTCCCCTACTTTAATTTTTTAAATTTGTTATTGTAGATTTTCTGGTGCCCCATCACCAAATATTTTTGTTGTTGTTGTTAAATTACGAGTTTAATCAGTTTTCATGGGTTGATGTGAGAATATAACCTCTATCTATAACATTGCTTCTATGAGAGAAAGAGGGATTCTGAATTTCAGAGAAGCAATTTTTAAACTCATTTTGAAAACTATACATTGATTGGTTCATTAGTCAACAATGACTAACTGGGTTATTATCATGTGTCAAAACCTGTTGTACGTCCTGGGGATGCATGAGTAAACAAAGCAAAGACCCTTGCCCTCATGAAGCTCAGCTAGTGACTGATACATAAGTTATAAGGTGACAGGTGCTGTGCAATAAAGATAAAGTGGAGTAAAATAAGTGGATGGGGGTAGGTGGCAATTTTAAATAAGATGGTCATTGAAAAGGTGACATTTAAGCAAAGTGTGAAGAGAGCTAGTCAAGATGACCAAATCTATAGGAAGAGCATTTCAAGCAGGAGGAAGAACCAGTCCAAAGGCCCTGAGGTAGGAGTTTACCTGGTGAGTTTGTAATACAATGAGGAGACCAGTGTGGTTGGAGGAGGGTGGAAAAGAGAAGAGGAGATGAAAGAGGAAATCTGGGCAGTGGAGGAAGAGAACTTACCAGATCACGTAGAGCCTTGCAGGTTCCTGTAGAGCTTTTGAGAAAGTTAGGTCACTGGTATTGGGCTGGCTTAAAGTAGGGTCTTGTTGTTGTTGTTGTTGTTAAGTGCCGTCGAGTCGTTTCCGACTCATAGCGACCCCACGCACAGCAGAACGAAACACTGCCCGATCCCACGCCAGCCCCACAATCCCTGCTATTCTTGAGCCCATCATCGCAGCCACCGTATCAATCCATCTCGTTGAAGGCCTCCCCCTCTTTCGCCGACCCTCCACCCTACCAAGCATGACATCCTTCTCCAGGGAATGGTCCCTTCTTACAACATGACCAAAAAGTAGGGTCTACCTGTATCAAAATAAAATAATTCTTTCTTTTCCCTGTCTTCTGTGTGGAAACTTTAACGTACATATAAATCACCTGTGAATCTTGTTAAGATTCCGGTCTGGGACAGACCCTGAGGTTCTGTACTTTTAACAAACATCCAGGTGATGGCTAAGCTGCTGGTCCACAAGCATACTTTGGTTAATGAGACCCTATAGCTCACTGGGGAGCTCTGGTGGTGTAGTGCCTAAGGCATTTGACTGCTAACCAGAAGGCTAGCAGTTCAAACCCACCAGCCACTCCTCGGAAGGAAGATGGGGCAATCTACAACCGTAGTGATACCACCTTGGAAATCCAAGGAGGGGTCGCTATGAGTCAAATTTGACTCGACAGCAGCGTGTTGCATTGTGTTATAGCTCACCAAGAGCCTGAAGAAAGTCCTGGCAATCTACTTCCAAAAAAATTAGGTGTTGAAAACACTGTGGAGAACAGTTCTACCCTGACACACTTGGGATTTTCATGAGATAGAATCAATTCTATAGCAACTGGTTTCGTTTTTTTAGTTAAAGCTCACTGAGCTCCTAGACGCTTTGGGGATTACCTCCCCATTAGCTGGTTGCAAAGGCTTCCTGTTCCCTTTGAGCCTGGATGGACAACCTCAAAAGGTTTTTGGTCATACTTCCATGTTGACCATTGACTGCCCTCCTTATTTCATGGCCCTGTCACCCGGTTGTTAAAATCTTGGTCCAAGGCTTCCTCCAGGAGTTTGAGGTAGGTAGTTTGGCTGCTTGCCAAAAGTTTCTATGGCCTTCATGAAGGCTCTGTTTCCGAACTTCAGCCTGGGAAACGCTGCTCTGCTCTTGGAGTGGTATTTCACTCTATGACCACATTTGTATCTTATTCAATGATAGGAGTGCTGACTTGTGGTCTTCACTTTTAGTGGCTATTATAGCCCAGTTCTATAAACTAGGTCTGAAGCAGGCCAAGAACTTGATGAACCCAGGCGGAGGAAGTGCTTTGCTGCTGCTGCTTGTTTATAATAGGCAAAACTAGCCTGTGAAATCACAGCCAGCACCCTGATTTACAGCTAGCAGGAAAGAATTGCCACTTGTGAATATAAAGCAAAGGCTTTTAGGCCAGATGGAGTCCCTGGGTGGTACAAATGGCGAACATGCTTGGCTGTTAACCCGAGTCCACCCAGAGCCTTGGAAGAAAGATCTGTCAGTCTACTTCTCAAAAATCAGCCATTGAAAATCTGAAGGAGTGGACAGCAACTTATTTATTTATTTAAAATGGGGCCAGATAGATTTGAGTTTGGATGGTTCTTCCATTCCTCACCGTGAAATCTTGAGAATGTTCCTTGGCACCTCTGAGCCTCAGTTTCTTTATCTGGGAAATGGGAACGCTAAAAATATTTCCCTCATGAATTGAGATAATGGATATAAGCACTTGCTAAAGTGCCTGGTATATGAGAATACTTATGAAATATGAGCTGCTCTTATTGTTTATATTTTTTATTAACATCCCACCATGTATCAAATTCCTTTGTGAGCTGGCATTGACTCGACGACCGTGTCTGTTTTTTTTTTATTTTTTGGTTTGGAGTTAAGGTATTAGGGCAAATTCCTCAACAAAGGCTTTCAAGGATGAGAAAAGGAGTCTGTCTAATGGCAGTTACAACATGACAGGTATCACAAAAGCCACTCCTCGGAAGGAAGATGGGGCAATCTACTTCCATAGTGATACTGCCTGGGAAACCCAAGGAGGAGTCGCTGTGAGTCGGGTCCTACTTGACGGCACATAACAACAACAACATCACAAAAGACAGCGAAGGAATTGAAGATGTTAATTTAGAAACTGGGAGCTCTGGTAGCATAGTGCCTAAGGCACTTGACTGCTAACCAGAAGGCTGGCAGTTCAAACCCACCAGCCACTCCTTGGAAGGAAGATGGGGCAATCTACTTCCGTAGTGATACTGCCTCGGAAACCCAAGGAGGGGTCGCTATGAGTCGGGTCTGACTCGACTGCAAATAACAACAACAACAGTTTAGAAAATAGATCATGGAGGGGTGTACGTGATGGCTGAGTTCAAGTTGTCTTGTATAGGAGGAATTAGACGTATTCTAAAAGACCCTGAACGAACAACTGAGATCAACAGAAGGAAATTACAAGTAAGCACAGTGCAGGTAAACAAAAGAGAAAACTTTTCCGTGGAAGCTAGTTGGGGAGCGATGAGGGTGGGGGAGTGTCGATGAGGGTGGGTTCGTGCGCAGCCGCTGCTGAGGCAGAGCCAATCACGGGGTGCAGCCAGTCCTCGCGTGAAGGTACAGTCGTACAGTCGTGACGTCGGCAGTTGCCTTGGAGAGGCTCGCCGGATAGACCTCGAGGTGGCGCGAGGGGCGACAAAGAGAACCAAGCGTGGCTTTGAAGACGCGTCCACAGCCAACATGGGCGGCCGAAGTAGGTGTAGAAAGACCTCTCTCGCCAAAAGCCGGGGCAAAGCCCCAGTCCGTGCTGCTCCTCACGACGCCCAGCGCGACCTGGACCCTCCACAGTGCCCCAATCTCCGAGAAGAAACCAGGGCAGCACAGGTGCAGGCTGGCGCGGGTTGGGGTGGCCTGGAAACCGCCGCGTCCGCGCTTCCCCACCGTCCAGGGGAGGAGGGAACCTGCCGGTTTCCCTTGGACTGTGGCCTCGCGCTTTGGGCCCAAGCTGCGGGGAGTCGTGGGCAGGCTAACCCCAGGACCCGCCCAGGGAGGGCCTCATCTTTCCAGGAGCGCCTGGAAAGAGACACTGCCTTCCTGGGAACTGTGGGCACTGTGGCAAGGCCGAGAAATAGCCTTCGAGTTGGAAATTGTCATGGCCTGGTTAAGAAGAAGGCCTCAGAGACCAGTATCGCAGTGAGGAGGGGAGCCCAGGCGATAGCTGTTGGGAAGCTGAAGAAAGGGACCTCTGGGGAGTGTGCCTTTGTCTCAGTGAGGGAGGAAAAGAAGGTGGAAAATTTGGCAGGGTCAGGGCCCCAGGCCGCTGATGGCATCATGGACACCCTGGAGACCGTCCAGCTGAAGCTGGAGAACATGAGTGCGCAGGCAGACAGGGCCTACCTTCGTCTTTCACGCAAGTTTGGGCAATTGCGACTGCACCACTTAGAGCGCAGGAATCGCCTCATCCGGGATATCCCGGGCTTCTGGGGGCAAGCCTTTTGGAACCACCCTCAGCTGTCATCCTTTCTGAGCAGTCAAGATAGAGAGGTACTCGGCTACTTGAACAGCTTGGAGGTGGAAGAGCTTGGCCTTGCCAGATTGGGCTACAAGATCAAGTTCTACTTTGGATGCAACCCCTATTTTCAAAATAAGTTGCTCATCAAGGAATATGGGTGTGCCCCTTCTGGTCAGGTGGTGTCACATTCTACTCCAATCCAGTGGCTCCCAGGCCATGATCTCCAGTCCCTAACCCAGGAGAACCCAAACAACAACTGTAGCTTCTTTGGATGGTTTTCAAACCACAGCTCCATTGAGTCTGACAAAATTGTTGAGATAATCAACGAAGAACTGTGGCCCAATCCCTTGCAGTACTACCTTATGAGTGAAGGGACCCTTGGAGAGAAAGGAAAAGTCAGCCGTGGTTCAGCAAGGCAGCCGGTAGAATCCCTTGAAGTAAATCAGTTCAACTGATCCTGCACAAGTTTCCTTCATACCTCCTGCTGGACCTGTGCCTCTCTGCAAACGTGTACTTGGCCATCTGCCTTTTCTTCATGTTGAGCTTTATGCATCATAGCCCCTTTGGACCTTCACTGCCCTCAGCTACAAGAACATGACCTTTTTGATCATCTTCTTTTGTCTCCATTTTACATTAGGGTCATATGTTACATGATCTCACGTATACCATTTATGTGCTAAGCACATGATGCTTCAGATGTGTGCTGACTTTATCTACTTCACCTGGACCCTTTTCTTGACTATGACGTTTCCTACCTGTCTTTAACATGGACACTCACAAGTTAGCCTCCAGCTGGACCAGTACATCCTCAAACTCAAGCCTAGTGACTTGGTGGCCTTGATGTTCATGCAGCCTCTGCATGCCATTTTTGGCAAGTTTCTCTTTCTGTTGCTGCTGCACAATTTAAAAGCAGTCTACATGGTATTTATTGGCCATCAGCCAGGACTAAGAGTTCCATGGCTCTGGGGCACAAGTCATGCTGCCACCTACTGGATCTCTGGCTTTGGCAGGAGTCCATGCTCCCCACTCTGCTGGATACAGGAAAATGGGCCCTTAGCTACTGGGCATGGATGAGGTTAAGAGTGAGGAGCAATATGCTATGTGTTCCACACCATCATGCCTCTTCCTGATCCTCCATACTATTGGAGCACCTTTGTTGAGGCCTGTGCCATGTCCTATCACCATCAGGCTGTTGAGTTTTGTTTTGGTTACCATCAGTCTCTGTTGACTTCTGGTCAAGAAGGACTTCAAGAACTGCCTGTGGACCCAGACCTCCTGCCAGTGCATGAGACACATACCTACCCACCCCTGCCTTCCAGAAACCATACTGGCTGCCAGATGGGTGGGTTGGTATGTGTGGACATGTGCTGTTATCATGCTGTGGCTACAGGTGAGTATCAAGACAGGGTCCATGTAGATTAAAGATACCTGTCAACTCTTCTTCACCTTCCACTTAATCAGAGTGCCATGATGGGGGTGCTAGGGAAGCAGTATTTCTGATCTGTGAGTCTTGTCTCTACTTGTCTTCATACCTTCATACCTCCTCACTTGCCCTTCCGCCCTCCTTCCTCCCTCCCTCCTCCTTCCCTCCCTCCCTCCCTCCCTCCATACACAGCTAGGGAGACAGCTCAGGACTCACCATACACACACAGTGCACACAGACTTTGGGCTAAAAGAAGTTAGAGAAAGCCAGAAGGCCAAGTGGCTTGTGGTGCTGATGCCAGGCTCACTCCACAAGTCTGAAGTTGGAAATTCTTTTCATACCTATGCACTGTTAAAATTATGAACCTCAAGGCAGCAGTGTGTGAACTCATGTTGACTCTTATTCAGACATGTTTTTTTGTGTGTGTGCTTCCTAAGCTTAGATGCCTCCCACTGCTTCCTCCTCTGTGGGAGCATTTTTTTGTATGTGTGTCCCCTAAGCCCAGATGCCTCCCACTGCCTTGTCCTCTGTGAGAGCCTCTGGCTATCTGGGCCCTCAGCTCTCAGCTTTTCCACTCAGCGGTCCTTTGTTCTCTTTGCTTAGGTATCCACAAGGATCAGGCTTTAGTCTTCAGTATGGGTTTCCCAAGGCTCCCTTCTGGAGCTTGGGGAGAGGAGTGGGCAGATTTGGTTCTGTTTTTTCAGGCTCATTCCTAGTGGGTGTGAAAGCTCTGCTGGGTCCTCCCTGCCCTGGCTTGACTGTGTGGTGGTCTCTCCCTCTCATCCCTGAGCTGAGGAGGTAGGACTGTATCTATACCTGCCAGCCCCCTAAATGCCCTTTGCTTATGGAAGACCTCATTCAAAGTTCCTCAGGGACTGGAAGGTCTTGAGTCAAAGATGTAAAGAGGGTGCGCTAGGCAAGGGAATCTAAAAAACAGGCAGGAATAAGTCTAGGGGACGGGATGGAACTGTGTAAGTACAAAAGGGGTTTGAGAGGCTTCTAGGAGGGTGAAGCTCTCTCTTGGTGGTGGTGGAAATGGAGAGCAGCATTCCCTGGGTAGGGGTGGGAGAATTAAAAGGTGCTTAGGATACGACTCTACAGCAGTGGGTGGGTTGGTTGGTTGGTTGGTTGGTAGGAGCTCTGGTGGTGTAGTGCCTAAGGCTGGCGGTTCAAACCCACCAGCCACTCCTCAGAAGGAAGGCTGAGCAATCTACTTCTATAGTGATACTGTTTCAGAAAACCAAGGAGGGGTCGCTATGCGTTGGATCTGACTCGATGGCAGTGAGTTTGGTCTGGTGGTTTTTTAAGCTCTGGTGGCATAGTGCCTAAAGCATTTGACTGCTAACCAGAAGGCTGGTGGTTCAAACCCACCAGCCACTCCTCAGAAGGCAGGTTGGGCAGTCTACTTCCATAGTGATACCATGTCAGAAACCCAAAGAGTGGTCACCATGAGTCAGATCTTACTTGATGGCAGTGAGTTTTGAGTTTAAAGAGCTCTGGGAGCTCTGGTGGCATGGTGCCTAAGGCATTTGACTAATAACCAGAAGGTTGGCAGTTCAAACCCACCAGCCACTCCGTGGAAGGAAGACTGGGCAATCTACTTCCGTAAAGGGTTACTGCCTCGGAAACCCAAAAGGGTTTGCTATGAGTCGGTATCGACTCAATGGCAGTGAGTTTCATTTTGGTTTGGAAGATAGGTTAAGTGCTCAACTGAGAATGAAAAGTTAGCAATTCAAACCCATCACCAGTGCTTCATGGGAGAAGGATGTGGCAATCTGCTTGCTTAAGGATTTACAGGATTGGGCCAGTTCTACTCTAACTCCTATAGGGTCACTATGAGTTGGAATCAATGGCAGTGGGTTACAATAGGATGATGAGATGAGGGTGCACCCAGACTTTTGCCCACTCTCTCTCTCATTACTAGTGGATTTGGTAAATCACAGAAACAATAATGTTATTTTGAATGCTTTCTCATTCTAGGTGTGGCCTGGTGCATGTGGAAGATGAATGTAACCTGCTGCTCATTTCACCACCAAGTAAAAATCTTAACCACGTCCCCCATTTTTGCCTCATGGGAAAACAGCTGCACATGTCTGCTTTTTTTTTTTTTTTTTTTTTAAAAAACTTTAATTTTTAAAAACTTGTGGCTCTTTATTATGTGCATTTTCAGATGTGCACAGAAGTATCCATCACTTAGTTATGTCAGTTATCCATTGTATTCAGTCCTATTTCATCTGTATCCTCTCCTCGCTGGGTTGGTTATCAAAAGTCCAAGACACCGCCAATTCAACCGTGACTACTCTGGGAGATTGAGACTCATTGTGGTGGTGATAGTGGTGGGATGTATTACCATTATCACATCATATCTGCTTTTTGCTTGTGATGTTATGGAATGAAGTTCCAGAGGCCATAAAAGTGCAAGTCTTCAGAATTAACAGAGTCTCAAAAAGAGTTGAAGATGCCGCCCCCTTGCATCCATGAAGGGAGAGAAAGATAGACTGTTCTGTTCTGAAAATCTTCAAAGACTCTGATGGGGTAAGGTGCTTAATTGAGGCCCTTTGCCAGAATATCCATCTTTTTGTCCAGTGTCATGGGGAGACTTCTGTGACTGCTAGGACTGTTATCCACTTATCCTAGTTTCTCTTAGTAAAACTCCTGTCTTGAAAGTATAATTTGGAAAATGTTGCTGTGTTCTGTGAAAATAACCTCTCATAAATAATCAGTAACTAGTTGTCTTACTTGATAATTGGACTCATTGGTAATAATGTACTTATTTTTGCATTCTTAAACAGTGTAAATGCTTATGAGCTTACATGGATGATAGAAAAATAAAAGCCTGTATCTGTTATATATTCTTATTTTCAAAAAAGAATGGGAAGGTGTTTTAAGCAGAGGCTGGGTAATTGAGGGGATATATGCATGGGCCTAGAATGTGTGATTCTCAAGCTTCAGATCCTGGTGTGACTGGCTACATAAAGATCGCTTTAGAAGCTTATGAAAGGCCCAATTCCCAGGCTCTTCTCAGAGAATGAGATGTTGTGGTTCTGGGAGGAGGCCCAATTGTCTTGCTTTTAACAACCTTTCTCAGTGATTCCAGTGGCTACTTGGTGCTTCTCAAATTTTAGAGTGCATTTGAGTTGTGTAGGGAATCCTGTTACAGATTATGATTGGCAGTTGGGGGTAGAACCTGAGATTCTGCGTTTCTAACCAACTTCAAGTGATGCACATGCTGGTAGCTTACGAATCACACTTTGAAAGCAAAGGAGATGACCCGCAAGGCCCTGTTGAGCTAATTATAATATTTAATATATAATTATTTTACATATTTTTTTATGGTATTTTACTTTAAAAAAGACCTTTCCCTTACTATGGGCAGATCAACTACAGTTCCTCTTAAAGAAGCAGTATAAATGCTTATTTCCTTCCCTTTAATTACCAGTTTTCAGAATCAGAAGTTGGCATAATAGTCACCTCCATGGTGGCATATAATGGCATTATTTTCTTCTCTCTGAACTGGTTGGATTTTATTTAATATTTCACAATCGGTTACAGCCATCCTTACTTTGGCTGCCAAACTAACTAACCCACATTTCAATCCTAACTTTTACCAGATTCCTCTCTTGTCACTAGCTTTCTCCTACTGCCTCTTTCTGCTGTGTTTGAGACAGTATGAACCATTTCTGGCTCTCTGGACACTCGTAGTGCACCTGCATGTCCTGCACATTTTTTACAAGCTGTTTCCTAAGCAAGAAAGCCCTTGCAGCTCCTCTCAAATGCTTGGATACAGCTCAGATACTCAAGACTGAATTAGTCTCCATTTCAGAAGTCTGAAGGAGCTCTGGAAGGAGCTCTGGTAGCATAGGGTCTAAGGCATTTGACTGCTAACCAGAAGGTTGGCAGTTCAAACCCACCAGCCACTCCACAGAAGGAAGACTGGACAATCTACTTCCATAAAGATTTACCACCTCGGAAACCCAAAGGGGGTTGCTATGAGTCGGAATTGACTCGCTGGCAGTGAGATTGTTTTTTTTT